TGTTGCTACTATTGTGTGGTACACCTAAAACACATTCTTTCTAATATAAAAAGTCAACAATAAGTATCAACTCCTTGTAAAAATCCAGATTGACCTGAAAGTCCCACGTAACAGCCGTTGTCTGTAGAGGCGGAGCAAATGGTGGCGACCACAAGGCCAGTCCGTCGCTATCCGTGCGTTCCGACACCTCCACCAGGTAATAATACAGCGCCGTGCATTCTCCCTTCGCGCGAGACAGTCTTCGGTCGGCGCTCTCTTTCGTGCCGTCACCACTGACGGTTCGAGCGCGCACGCGAGCGAGCAAACCAGGCAGCAGACAAACAGGAGGACAGAGGAGGAAGAACGCACAGATATACAGGACAAAACGACGCGGGGGCAGCACGAACTATTTACGCTAACTTATTCGACAGGATGGAACGGAGACCGCGATGGCATTCAAGGAAGCGAGCGCTCGTAGTGGTCGTTGCAGCTGCCGTCGCGGTCTGCTCGACGGGCGTCGTAAATGCGGAGCAACCCTTCGACTACCGACAACTTGAGGTGAGTGTTCGCCTTGCAGATTCTAGCGAGAGCGCCACCACCGACACGAATGCTGGAGCTTTAAGTGGTAACCCAGAGGCAGATTCAAACTCCAGTCCGACGGTGACGACAGCGACGCCTAGCGCGACGACTAAAGCACCAGAGACTGACTGGACACCGGTCACGAATGCGCCAAGCTCAGAAAACGACGGTAGGTCTAGACCAGGAACAGCAGGAATTACCACGCTGGCAACGACAGAGCCGTCGCCACATAGTGACGAGTCAAATCCAGACACAGCAACACAGATGCCGGAGTCAACGACGCAGGCACCGAGCGAATGGACAAATGCTCCCGTGTCAGAAACGGGTTCGTCTTCTTCGAAATCGAGTGTAGGCTCTAGTGCTAGTTACACGCCTACCTCGACAACACGGACGCCGGAGTCAACGACACTGACGCCGTGGATGAATACGCCGACTTCAGGAACTCATCCAAGCTCGACTACTGCGAGATCTTCTTCAGGCTCCAGTTCTAGCTTTGTGCCGAACTCACCAACTCAACTGCCGAAGTCAACGACCCAGGCATCGAATCCATGGACGACTCACCCCATACCAGGACTCAGCACTTTATCTTCAGGATCTAAAACGTCAACCACTGGGTCAAGCAGCGGATCTAACGCGCAGTGGACGAACGCGCCTACGGAGGCTCCAACGTTTGCGTCTGCTTCGGGATCGAGTGCGGAGTCGAGCACAGAGTCGAGCACTGGATCAAACGCGCAGTGGACGAACGCGCCTACGGAGGCTCCAACGTTTGCGTCTGCTTCGGGGTCGAGTGCGGAGTCGAGCACAGAGTCGAGCACTGGATCAAACGCGCAGTGGACGAACGCGCCTACGGAGGCTCCAACGTTTGCGTCTGCTTCGGGATCGGGCGCGGAGTCGAGCACGGAGTCGAGCACTGGATCAAACGCGCAGTGGACGAACGCGCCTACGGAGGCTCCAACGTTTGCGTCTGCTTCGGGATCGAGTGCGGAGTCGAGCACGGAGTCGAGCACTGGATCAAACTCACAGTGGACGAACGCGCCTACGGAGGCTCCAACGGTTGCGTCTGCTTCGGGATCGAGTGCGGAGTCGAGCACGGAGTCGAGCACTGGGTCTAACTCGCAGTGGACGAACGCGCCTACGGAGGCTCCAACGTTTGCGTCTGCTTCGGGATCGAGTGCGGAGTCGAGCACAGGCCACTGAGCTGGGTCTAACTCGCAGTGGACGAACGCGCCTACGGAGGCTCCAACGTTTGCGTCTGCTTCGGGATCGAGTGCGGAGTCGAGCACAGAGTCGAGCACTGGGTCTAACTCGCAGTGGACGAACGCGCCTACGGAGGCTCCAACGTTTGCGTCTGCTTCGGGATCGGGTGCGGAGTCGAGCACAGAGTCGAGCACTGGATCAAACGCGCAGTGGACGAACGCGCCTACGGAGGCTCCAACGTTTGCGTCTGCTTCGGGATCGAGTGCGGAGTCGAGCACAGAGTCGAGCACTGGGTCTAACTCGCAGTGGACGAACGCGCCTACGGAGGCTCCAACGTTTGCGTCTGCTTCGGGATCGGGTGCGGAGTCGAGCACAGAGTCGAGCACTGGGTCTAACTCGCAGTGGACGAACGAGCCTACGGAGGCTCCAACGTTTGCGTCTGCTTCGGGATCGGGTGCGGAGTCGAGCACGGAGTCGAGCACTGGGTCTAACTCACAGTGGACGAACGCGCCTACGGAGGCTCCAACGGTTGCGTCTGCTTCGGGATCGAGTGCGGAGTCGAGCACGGAGTCGAGCACTGGGTCTAACTCGCAGTGGACGAACGCGCCTACGGAGGCTCCAACGGTTGCGTCTGCTTCGGGATCGAGTGCGGAGTCGAGCACAGAGTCGAGCACTGGGTCTAACTCGCAGTGGACGAACGAGCCTACGGAGGCTCCAACGTTTGCGTCTGCTTCGGGATCGAGTGCGGAGTCGAGCACAGAGTCGAGCACTGGTCTAACTCACAGTGTACGAACGCGCCTACGGAGGCTCCAACGTTTGCGTCTGCTTCGGGATCGAGTGCGGAGTCGAGCACAGAGTCGAGCACTGGGTCTAACTCCCGGGGACGAACGGGGCTACGGAGGGTGCCAACGGTTGCGTCTCCTTCGGGATCGACTACGGAGTCAAGCACTGGATCAACGCGCAGTGGACGAACGCGCCTACGGAGGCTCCCACGTTTGCGTCTGCTTGGGGATCGAGTGCGGAGTCGAGCACTGGGTCTAATGCGCAGTGGACGAACACGCCTACGGAGGCCCCGTCTACGATGTCAAGCTTGGGATCGAGCACTGGATCTGACGCGCAATGGATGAATACACAGACGGAGGCTCCGATGCCGACTGAAGCACCGGCAGGGTCCGTACACGCATCTGTGTCTGGATCAAACATGAATGCTTTAACAGAAATTCCAACGGAAGCTCCAGCAGATCCCCCTACGATATCGTTTTCAGGCTCGGACACTGATGCACCAGTTTGGACTGATCCACCGACGAATGCTCCGACGCCGGCTGAAATTCTTACGCAGGCTCCTCCCACATGGACGCCTCAAACGGAAACTCCCATGACGGATGCTCCCGCGTCAATATCAGCATCCGGTTCATCAGACGAGTCTTTGGTGCCTGTACCCACAACATCTACGCCAGTATCAACGACATCGATGCCGACTCCAATTACGTCCGCTCCAACCCCCGAGCCAACGCCCGAATCAACGCCATGGAGTCCACCTCCAATCCCAAATAACCCATCGACGACGAACCCAACACCGTCCGAGTCCTCAGGATCTGATAGCTTCTCGTCCGCTGCAGGATTTTCCGATAGTCCCAGCTCGTCGCAAACTTCTGAATCGACTGAATCTTCCAATACGGAAGATCATATTACGTTCAGCCCTCCACCCGTGACAAGCACACCGCAAACGCAAGGTCCGACAACCACATCCCCTCCCTCGGGATCAAGCTCGTCCATGTCTGAGGGAAACTCTGACGTTTCGTCATCCTCAGGATCGGGCAAGACGACGGTTTTGGTGTCGGAAAGTTCGTCAGGGTCGTCGGACACGCCACTGAGTCCTCCTCCAGTGACATGGAGTCCTGCCCCAGTGACAAATCCGCCGAAGACAACCGTTGCTCCGTCAACTACGCCTCCAACTACTACAGGATCAGACGCATCGTCGAACTCCGGCGGCGAGGCTTCCTCAGGATCGTCGGACTCATCTGAATCTGGCACAGGTGTCCCCACCTCAGCGTCTTCAGGCTCCGCAATGTCTACTGATGAGAACGAGGAGAGTACACCGAGCCCAGCCCCGGTGACTAGAGCTCCTACAGTGTCGACGGACTCGACGGATGATTCCGAAGATGGTAACGATGTTTCACAAGTCGAGCAAACTGAGCAGACATCGGACTACTCCTCGTCTGACTCGACGACGCCTAGTCCGGCTCCGATAACCAGGAATCCGTCGTCAATGGTCATGACAATGCCTCCGTCTGCTGCTTCGTCGGACTCGGTGGGAACGGTGATCCCTGCTGATACTTCTTATATCGACAACTCGGCGGCTGAGGCTGTGACGAAGCAGACCGACTCAGGAAGCAGTGATGAAGGCGACAAGAACACGATCAACGGCAACAACTTAGTGTTGCTGGGCGATACAGGATCTACGATCGTGTATACGGATGGGAGTAAGATTACGACATTTGAAAAGTACAACCGTGGAGACGGTGATCTGCAAGCTCTTGAAGACGCCAGTGGATCGTACAGTAACATTATCGTTGGCGGTGGCAACCGTGCGAACTTGCCGCCTGGTGCTTCCATTTCGCTGTCTACAACGTCTCAGGAGATCCAGAATGCGCTGCTATACGCGAGCTATGCTCTCGGAATCGTCTCGACTGTGCTGTTGATGTTCTTCCACATGTTAGCGCTCCAACGCCCACCGTGGCTGGGTGGATCTTCCGACAACAGTCAGGACGGAGGAAACGGTCGTGCCAGTATGGGGTGGTTCACGCCTAACGTGTGGGAGCTTGCAGTAGTGGTGGGCTACATCCAACACGTCAACTCTATCTCGATGTTGGATCTGACGAAGGCGCCTCAGATCGTCTTGGACTTCACAGATTCGTTCTCGTTTGCGAACATGCACATTTCGTCAGTAACAACTACCGCTGCTTCCGATGCTTCACGGAGACTGCAGCTGATCATTTTGACCGGCATTGTTGCGTTCGCTGACCGTATTGGCATCGAAGAAGACGAGGCTCTTATGGCCGCATTCTATTTCTTCCTAGCGGTCGTTGCTATTGTACTTGTGCTATTTGCTCTGGCCGCCGGATTCGCGTTCTACCACCACAGTATGTCGGTAGATGTGTGGTCAGCGTTCTACCCGACAGGCCTGCGCAACAGCTTTGCCATGTGCGTGGTGGGTTTTGGTGTAGCGTTGTGGATGCTCAGTGTGTTCCCGCTTGTGTCTATGTCCTCGTACGAACTGGTGATGGAGTTGCGGTACCGAGTTGGTATCGGTCTGGCTGTGGCGCTGTTCTCTTTGTGGGCTGTTGTGGTCGGTGGACTTTGCTATGCGTTTGTGAGTGTGCGCGCCATCCCGAACAACGACGCGTTCCGCTTCAAGCACTTTGCAGTGTGGGGATCACTGTATGGCGACTCAAAGATGGCGTTTCGCTACTTCTTCGTCGTGACGGTGGGTTTCCAGGGTCTTCTTGGTGTGATCACTGGCGCCGTGTCGGGCATTCCAACCCAACTAGTGGCGCTGATGGTGACGCACCTGCTCTTCGTCGTTGTGGCACTTATCATCCGCCCGTTTGCAGCACGCTGGGTCCTTGGTGTTGTTGTAGGTCTTCGTGTCGTGGCGATTACAAATTTGTTGTGCAGTTTTGCTTTCCTCACGTCGAGTGAGCTGAGCACGCTCTGGCGTGGTATCGTGGCCCAAGGTTTCGTGATTTTCAATGCGATCGTTTTCTTCCTGTTCTTCGCGCGCTACGTCGCTATGTTCGTGTTGGTACTAAAGCGCTGGTCGGGCTACACTCATCGGGAGAGTTTCAGTCAGTCACAGCAGCAAAGTTATGAAATGGAGCAGCAGATGGCTGGTTCAAGCAGCAACGACCAGACCCCAGTCTTCTTGACGTACGATGTGCGCGAGCACAGGCATCACAACGACGGCGGCAGATTTATCGCTTCTGGAGCAGGGTTTGAGCCGTCACGAGGCCCAGGGTCAGGATACTCGTCCGGATACTCGTCCGAGTACTCATCCGACCGGCATCGGTCCATTTATTCATCCGGACACTCGTCACACCAGCACGCGCCGACACCTTCGGGATCATCAGGATATTCCTCTGGCTCGCGTGCCCATGGGCAGTCACGCTACTATCACTAAGAATCCACGTGCGTGCAGTTTTGGCCATAATATGTGTGCGTGAGTGCTTTGTCGATAGCTAGAGAGATACCATACTTAAGTAATCAAAGTGACATTTTTCAAAATAAGTGTTTTACTACTGAAGGACTTCGTGAAGTACACCTAGTGCAGCACAATGCCGCCGCCTGCCTCATAACAATGCGGCGCGACTCAATCGTGTTGTGGTTTCATCCACATCTCCATCATAAGGAGCTTGGGCTTTCGTTTCGTCCAGATCCTTATCACCCTCGTCTTCTCCATCGAATGAACAGCATTCGATCGAGTGTACAGGAGACGGTCGAGCCATCAAATGGTTGCGTAAGAAATGTCGACAAACTGCTTGCAGTTGCACAGCATTGGCACGCTCAGCTGCTTCTGCGATGGCCTCAACGCTACCGACGCGCACTGCGTGCTGTAGTGTCCGCTCACAGCGCTGCTTGAGGTGGTCGAGCATAAATTGATCGGCAGCCACAAGCAGCTCCAACAAAGACTCGAGCTCCATTTCCAGTCTCAGATCCAAAACCTGAGCTTGCTCGGATTGTCTGCGACGAGCTTCTTCGATCTCGTTGAGTCCGTCTGCAGACTGTGGACAGGCTGCAATACTATTGCTCGCGAAGTCCAGCTCCTGATCAGCTTCTTGAGCACTAGAGCGCATGGCGAATGCATCGTCGTGTGTTTCGATATGACCAGTGTAGAGATACTCGAGTAGCAGCAAGAAAACCTCATAGCGCACGTCTGGGACCACTATTTGAGATTCTCGAGCCTCGCGGAAACCAGAAGAAAACATCACTCGAAATCGTTCACTCAGAGCTGACAAGACCAGCTTGTGTGCAAACACTACGCGTCCTTCGACTAGCTGGTTACATCAGAATAACACGACTAAGTCACTCCTTTTCATGGCTCAAAACACGAGAGAAAAAAAAAACTTACGAAGGAAATATCAGCAAATTCCTCACAGGCAACATATTGCGCGAGCGCATGACGCAGCAGTTTTGCTGGCGATGGCAGCGATACAGAAGCCCGTGGAGGAGGGTCGGTGTCTAATGTGAAGCAGTCATTTAGGTAATCAGCACCACAGGAGCCTCCAAAAATCACAAGCATGCGGTCCACTACTGTGCACGTGTGGCCAGCTCGTCTTCCAGGGCCCCTCCCTACTACTAACAGGGGCTCTTCCCGCTTTCGTGTCTCCACAGCTGAGAATTCACACATTTCATTTGGATTGGCCAAGTCACAGGAGCCAGTGGCCAGCCCTTGTGCCACCATCATGGCCTCTCTGTCGCTGTGTGCGTCTTCAAACTCCTCGTCACTATCCAGATCGTCATCGAACTCTTCTGCGTCGTTTCCAGACCAACTTCCATCTTGCTGATCCTCGTCCTCGTATATATCCCACCGTGGTTGGGACCGCGTGCGACCGCGACCAGATCGACAGCTCAGCCTCCGCGTGTGCTCGTCTGGGTTCTCGGCCGTGATCACGGCAACTGTCTCCACCCACTGATGTCTACTCGGGTCGTACACATGGAGATCGTCATAGCATTTGGCCGACGGGCCGGAGCCTCCAAAGATGAACAATCGATCTCGATGGCGGGCCATCGTCATACCTGCTCGAGGCAGCGGTGGGGCCACGTAGTGTCTTGTATCTACTCTAAACTCGCTCGCCACGCCTGACCACGTCATGCTTCGCGTGTCCAGCACGTGGACATCATTGAGTCTTTGCCGACCGTCCCAACCTCCGAAAACGAGCAGGTCATCACCCACCAGCGCAGAGCTGTGGTTGGCCCGTGGGGCTGGCGCTCGACCGCGAGTGTGTACGGTGGTCCACGCCATCGAGTCGAGCTGCAGCGCGTGTAGGTCGTTGAGGTACTCGCGTCCATTGCCGCCTCGGAAAACTAGGATACTGCGCAAGCGGGCTACGTAGTCGGCCGTATGCATATTACACGGGCCGAGTGCGGTCATCAGCTCGGGCTGTTCCCACGTGAGCGTATCCAAGTGCAATACGTGCAGGTCGGCCGCCGCCAATGGACCACTGCCCAGCCAGCCACCAAGGATGAAGAGCTTCCGCTCCGCTAGCGTCGCTGTGTGCCCATTACGACCTGCCGGCGGTCTGCCGCGCGTCTCATGTGACAGCTCTCGCCATGTCCGTCGTGTCACGTCCAACAGATGCAACGCGTTGTGATTGCGGCGGCCATCATAGCCGCCGAACACCAGAAGCTCGTGCGCAGACACCGCAGTGGCTGTATGGTTCTTGACGGCTGGGCCGGCTGGGCGCATCGGCTTCCAGCAGAGCACCATTCTCAATGTGGATGCTTTTGCAAGTGTCTTTCTAACGTGTTATCACTTTTCACAGACCCCCCAAAGCTGATAGCGCCGAAGCGACACCTTTCCAGCGATCCACATCACTTCTTTATTGTGTGACCCTTTGGAAGACTTGGTAGGTTTCTAGCGATGGTGGTGCTCCATGTAAAGCGCGGCGACCGCAGCGAGTTCCTGTTCGAGACCTCGGTCTCTACCAGCAACGACAATCTGATCCGCTCGCTGTGTCGCTTGCAAAATCTGCGTCTGCGTCTGGCGGCACTAGCTGATGCGCTGGAAGGGCTCGGTCGTTACGGCGTGGCCAAGCCCCCACAAGAGCAGGGGCTGGACGCATACCAGCAAGGAGCGGCTGACAAAAACCGCGGGGAATTCTACGAGGCAGATCCACTCGGTCACCGTACAGGTGAAGGTGTGAGTCCTCAACTGAAGGACGTTCTGGCGCGCGTGGCTGTCGACGCCAAAGCAATGGTGGACAGCAAGGCGCAGTTAGCTCGGCGCGTATGCATTGTGCAAAGTGAGCTACTCGAGAAGCTGCAGAATATCCGTGGAGCTGTTGCCATGGCCTTCCCTATGGGGCTGCCAGCGCACGATCCGGTCAAGCTCATGCTGGACGCAGAGAGCGCGGAAGACGCGCTGGCTGACTCGTCGGCTGTGCTCGAAGTCGTGCCTGAGGACACAACGGAGCTCTGGTGGGCTGGCAAACAGTTTTTTAGAGACCAACATGTGTGTGACCTCACAGGGAAAAACGAAAAGTCGACGCTCATCGTCAAACTGCAGAAGAAAGGAGGTGGCGCTCCGAGTCGAGAACCGGGCGTGAGTGAGGAGGAACGCAAAGCGATGATGGCGTTCTACTTCAAAAAGCAACAGGAGTTGCAGCAGGCAGCAGAAGACGATGCAGAGGACTACATGAAGTCCTCCTGGGCGGACCCGAAGGCACTCAAGAACGCGCTGCGTGGCACCGGTAACATTCGACCTTTTTGATCAGGCGCAGCGGCTAGCCTATCTTCATCACGGTGATCTTAACTCGCCTGGCACCAGTGTATTTCTAGTAATAGGCTATGACAATTCTAACAGCAATCCATTCTTTCTTCAACAAAAACCTCTGAAAGATTCTCTGTTTTGGATAGTACATGAATTCTTAGGCATACTCGCCAATGCACCACTATTTGGCAGAGACGTTGTAGAAGTCATGGACGCATGGAACGCCATGGCAAACGCCACGGTAAATGAACATCAACGTGCCCTCTTTGTTTTGTTAGACGGCATGAGTGCGTCAAGCAATTGGATTAATACGTGTTAACTCTATGCCTAAGGTAGTGTTGCTTCGATAAATATTAAACCACTCACGATAACTTTTGTTCTACCTGACTTCTGTGAAACTACCGTAGTATTTTTTTTACAAGGTGTGTTTCAGCTTTTATGGCATCACCGTGCCGGCACAGTTTTTAACTTGATTAAAGTATTGGCAATATGACTGACGCGACGGTTTTTGACCAATGAAATCAGCATTTAAAATATATCAACCAATAAGACCCACGGGGGATAGGGTAAATTGATACCGACGCCATGCCGACGTATTATGTAGGCAGGGGGGGGAGATTATGTTGGGAGTCAATACAGGCCACAAGTTGAGCGCATATCATTCGTGTATTTGCTTTTTCGCCGACAAAACACTCCAATTCATTATGAGTTCGGAAGACCTCGCTCCCTTAAACTCTCAGCGCGCTCGCCAAACGGCAATCAACACCTTCGGTCGCTTCATTGCGGCCGAAGGATATCTCCATGGACTTCGTTGTGGCATCTCTGGGTCCCGATGCAAGTGTGCCGTCTTCCTAAAGCTGCTAGACCGTTTCGGCGTCCACCTAGCATTTT